CCACGTTCCTGGGGTCTGGATCAGTTCCATGCTGGTATCCCAGCTATCAGTCTGGGGAGCAAGAATTCCCCGATGTTCAGGTCAGCTGTTTCTGTGGGTTTCACCAGCCTGGTCTGAATACCTTTGCTCATCACTCGTTCTTCTCTGCAACTGGATTCCAGTTCATTTCAAGTGATTAGTTGTGGGTGTCTGCTTCTACTTCCACCAGCTGCATATAAAATATGAATATATTTTTAAACATTCTGTTGTAGTGAGATATCCACTCCACTTGCACCTATTGCACTGACCACGCCTGTTAAGGCATTTTCACAGGTGCGAATGTGATGGGGAAAGACTAGGTCTGGGGTCCCGGATCTCAAGTCACTCTCTTGGTTCTGGTTGGGTCACACAGAGCAGCCTGGGTATGGATCCTCAGAGCATGAACTTTCGGGTCATTGGTTTCTTATGTAAGCTGGCTTCTCCCCTAATTAATTTAGCCTATATTTAACCAAGTCCTGTGCATCTTAATCTGTGCATCTACACTTTGTAATACATTTAGTATTTGTTTTTGTCTGAACTTGTCCTTAGGGCACATTTGTAACTTTCCTGTCTAACATAAAAAAAATAAAAATAAAAATAAATTTAGAAAGCTGCTATGTAATTTAGATCATGGCATGCTGGTGCTAGCTCCTCCCTGTCAGTTTCCTGCGAGTCTAGTCTCATGACAGAGGCATGTTTACCTCCAACTCTGGGAGCCATGTTACAGCCCTAACTCTGGGAAGTTTCTATTTCCATGCTGCCACCGAGTAGCATGCCACCAGCTTCTCATAAACACCATATAAGTGTTTGGTAGCAGAAACTCTTAAAAGAGCCTCCTGTTTTTGCTGCTAGCACCAAGCCAGAAAGCAAGGATCCCTGTCTCTGCTCACACAAAGAATTAGAGCCCACTGGAGAAAAGACAGCTACCAAGAAGCCATGTTTTTGTGTGTCTAGATACACTTTTAAGCTTGGACAGGTTTTATGTGGAAATTTTGGGCACACGTTGGAATGCAGTATGTAATTGGACATTTCCTCTCCTGACTGCCTGTTCCCAAATAGCCAGCAGCTGCTTCTCAAATTACCAAGCAGAGGCTTATATTAATTATAAATGTTCAGGCTTGTTACTAACTAGCTCTTACAACTTAAATTAACCCATTTCTATTAATCTATGTATTGCCACATGGCTTGTGGCTTTACCTGTCATCTAGTGTGTTCAGCTTTCTGGGCAGCTGGCTGGCATTTCTCCTATCTTGCCCTCCTTCTGCCCATCATTCTCAGTTTTGTTTCCAGCCTAATATTTTGCCCAGCTACCTGCCTGTCAGTTTTTTATTAACCAATGGGACTAATACATATTCATAGTGTAGAAAAGGGTTTTTCCACAACAAACACCTGAATGGAAATCTTGGCACCCCACATGCACCAATTGAGGAACACATCATTGGCAGTTCTAATCTCCCATCACTAGCAATGAAGAGACAACTCTTTGGAATGTCTTCCCTGAGTGTTCAAGAGGATGACAGCCTGCCTACTCCAATAATCGTGAGTTTCACTTTGGTTTCTACAGCTCTGCTTTTCAGCATAGTTTCTGAGAACCTCTGTTTTCAGTGAAATGCAAAACTGATGAATGTTTAGATAACCCATCCATGAGGGTGGGATCCTTTTACAATAGTGCCTCAAAGAAATTAATCCCACTGAAGTTAGAGATATTTAATTCAAGAAATTAGAAAAGAAAGCAAACAAAGACCATAATAACAAAAACCTACACTATTCCCATGGCTTCGACTAGTTTCTACAAAGACACAAACCCAGTAGCTTGTTGGAAGAAATGTGTCTATGGGTGAGAACATCTGAGGCCCCAAACCTTAACCTTTCCAGAATCTTTCATGACTCCATATTAACCTGGGGTCTTCATTAACATTATTGCCTCTGAGATTATTCCATATTATAATTCAAAATATACACAGTGCTTTGTTTTATGGTATAAAGGAATTATGCATAGTATTGTTCTGTGCTATATGTTAACCTTTTCATCCTAGTAGAATGCATTTATAAGCCACATAATAGGGCATGAGTTATTTTACTTTTTTCTCCATTTTTTATTTAAATGAGAAACAAGATTGTTTTACATGTCAATCCCCATTCCCTCTCCCTCACTTCCTCTCCTGCCCCCCCCCCCACTAACACCCTACCTATCCCATACCCTTTCTGCTCCCCAGGGAGAGTGAGGCCTTCCATAGGGGACCTTCAGAGTCTGTCATATCCTTTGGGATAAAGCCTACGCCCTTCCCCCATGTATCTAGGCTCAGGGAGTATCCCTCTATGTGGAATGGGCTCCCAAAGTCCATTCCTATGCTAGGGATAAGTACTGATCTACTACAAGGGGCCCCATAGATTTCCGAGGCCTCCTTACTGACCCCAACATTCATGGGGTCAGGATCAGTCCCATGCTGGTTTCCCAGCTATCAGTCTGGGGACCAAGAGCTCCCCGTTGTTCAGGCAAGCTGTTTCTGTTGGTTTCACCAGCCTGGGCTTGACCCCTTTGCTCATCACTCTTCCTTCTCTGCAACTGGATTCCAGTTCAGTTCAGTGTTTAGCTGTGAATGTCTGCTTCTACTTCCACCAGCTGCTGGATGAAGGGTATAGGATGGCATGAACTATTTTAAACGTTAGTAAATTGCCATTGAAAATATATATTTACTGTGCGTCATCCACTTTGTACTATACTTAGTGTCAGGAATTAATAATGCTCATGTGAACAAGTTTATCATGTCAGATACATGATAATTACTGCCCACACCTTGTGTACTTTACAATACTTTCTGGTAATGGTGGATATAATCATCCCAAATTTGATACTAGAGAAACTATTCAGTAAGGTTGTATATGGTACTCCTTTTTACATTACTGAAATGATGGAAGAGAGATTGATATTCCCTTGGTTTCTTGACCATGACAGCATCTTATGCCATTGATAGTTAAAAATAAAATGTCACAAAGGAAATGTAAGTCTCTGTCAAAGGAAGTGTAATGAGATAAAGCTTTCTTTAAAACACAGATTTTAAGACTCATAATAGAGCACAGGACAGACAGGAAGTAATTATAATGGTTGGGGCACTGGAAGGGAAATATACCATTAGTAACTGAGAATGGCATGCTTAAAAGAGACATCCATAGAAGAGAAGGCAAAGTAAGAAGGTACCATCCACCAAAATGCTTGGGAGACAGAAGTCTGATCCACTGCTGAGGAATAACTAATTACAGCAACACCCCAATGTTTCAAATTAGGGAAAAATAATTAGGGGAGAAAATCTATTTGGAAGCAAAAAAAGAGAAACAAAAATGAAAGAAAGAAAAATTCAAAATTTTTTATTATTCCCAGTTTTAGCTTTGCACCACTACCTGCCATTGCTCTGGTTCACAATAAGGAGATACACTAGTGCTTCCAACTGTAATAATAAGAAGCTTGTTTTTATCTCTCACAAGACAGGCTCTTTATTGATGAAAAGGGACCATATAAAGAGAAAGTCTTCAGGAGGACAGACAACAGATCCTTCTGAACCTCAAAGAAAAGCTTGATTATGGGGAGGAAGTACACTTGAGTGAGGAATGTGTCTTAAAGGTAAAGAAAGTTTTGGCATCCTCCACACTCAGCATCCCTGTAGAGATGCATAATCCTTTCCCTCCTTGAGATAAACTGATGATAGTAGTTTCCTTCAACATGGTGACATGAGGGTAATAGGCATGGTAGATAAGAAGTTTGAGAAGATACGGATTCATCACAAAGACACAGTTGAAGAATTTTCTGTTAGAAGTTAACCTCCGCATATATTAGATCTGCTTTGGTTTGCCATTGCAAAAGACTCCTTTGATTTCACCTCTGACCACACCATGTGAGGTAATAACAAAACAAGTAAGAATAGTAGTAAAATTGTGATTTACAAATCACATCTTAAATCATGTTTACCGTGTGTGTGTGTGTGTGTGTGTGTGTGTGTGTGTGTGTGTGTGTGTGTGTAATAGGTTCACAGAGAATGCATTCTTCTCTCTGTCCATGACATACATGAAATTGTTTCTTTCTCTACGAAAAAATAAATGAGTACTTTGCATTTCCAGACATTGCTATCCTAACCCCATGTTAGATAACCAAGAATTAGCCTAACCTACTCAAGAATATCCTACCACATTAAACTTGTCATGGAGCTGTCTATAAGTAGTGGCTCTAGAGCAAATGCCCTTGGTTTATTTTTAATTGGTCCTTGTTAGGAGTTTACCATTCCATAGACTTTGGAGCTGTGGCCCCAGACATCAAGGGGGGAGATAAAATTTACCAAAATCAACAGTTCCTGCCATTCAAAATTGGGTATACTGCAAACACAAGTAATTCACTGTATAGAGTTGAGTTGAGTTTCATAATTGATTTTCTTGGCTTGATAATATTTGTCTCATCAATTTGAGGAAATATATAGAAAAACTCATTTTATATGAATTGATGTAAATCTATAATTTAACAATGTTTGTATCAAGATGACAGTTTATGTTTTATTTAGCAGTGAGCAACAGAACAACTTATGCATCCCGTAACACTGAAGGTCATAGTGTTCTCTAGAACCAACTCCCAGAGGATGATGACTGAGTCCACATCTGGATGGCCAAGCTATTTTCCTGTCCTTGATTTTCTCAGTAACTGGAGACTTGAATCAAATCCCCAGAACTCCACTGGGCTACATCCTTTACTTTCTATATTATTCTGCTGAAAGCTATTTTTGGAAGCCACTTACAACATTTAACAGAATTTATTTGAATGTTCTGGTTTTGTTCTGAATTGAGAATTCCTTTAAAAGGTATTGACTATGTATTATGAGATGATCCATAGTCTGTAAGGTTAAGGTATCTTTATAAACACCAGCCAAACGCAAGCCAGAATGTGCCAGGCAGGGAGGCCAAAGAGAAGGGGCTCCCATGTGCCTTGCAGCCCCTTAAAACCCTATCATGCGTCATCCTGACCTCACCTTGACCATGCCCTGACAGGCGTGGTCAGGCACACCTGTAGCCAGCTTCTAGCAAACATGGCTTACACTGTCCCCTACAACTATGCCACCATCAACCAAGAGAAACCAAAAGTGATGCTTTTAGAGTATGGACTTTGGCCTTGAGTAAGAACTTCTCAGGCTCCAACTCATTCCATGTGAAGGTTTCCTTCTACCTCCCACTTATCCATAGTGCATAAAAGCTTATTATATGACATTCCTTCTGTTCTCCTATTTTATAATTTTAGTTACAAATATTTTCAGTTATTATAGTTATTTTGTGCTGTATATTACACATTCTTTATTGTTATAATAAAAGCCATTCAATAATTGATTGCTTAGATTTTTTCGTGATTCCCCATAGTCTTTGGAGGATGCTGACAATACTGTTTACAAAGGTAATGTCCTGGTACTCTTAACTAATGACAACCTTATATTTTATGCTTGAATGAGTTCATAAGGAAAATATTTCCAGTCTGTAAGCTCAAACCTTCAAATAGTTAATACGATTACTTGTTTGTTTTGTTAGCATCTCCAGCTTCCTTATGATTTCATCAAGTAAGTGTAATTTAATTGGTTTTGGAAGAACACCCCTAATTATTTCACAGAATTTACCCTGAGATACTCATAGATTATCACTTTTGCCAGATACTTTTTACCCCTTTGAAAGTTAGCTCATGGTAATCACACAAGCATGAAGATAAATGGACCTAATGGAGCCTATGAAACTGAAAATTATAAATCAGAAAGCTCAGAGGTTGAATAAGGAACACATGGCTGTAGAGATAAAAATACAAAGACTTCTGAATGTTCTCTTGTCAGGAAAGTGAAATACCAGACTCTTCTGATAAATCCACTTTCACCACCAACAGGGATTGTAGAGCCACTGTCTCCAACTGCAGGGAGGGTATAACTATTGTTTCCAACAGCAAGAAATGCTGTAGAATAAGCAGGCCTTTGAAATCTCCATATATTCAGAGATACTCTCAAAATGTGAGCCTCGATTTGTTAAATCTAAATTATCAAAATTATCATTGCTATCATCTTCACCGTCACCATCATCATCACCATCATCATCACCTTCATCAACATCATCACTATCACCATCATCACCACCATCATCATCATCATCTGCATTCAGACTTGTGTCATACCTTAGATTGGCATTTAGTTCTTCTGGTTATCATATCTTTTCTGACATGTTAGGTCCATTGTTAAGCACTTTGCATATAACTTTTCTTTTGCTTAGTTTTTAACCTAATTTTATAGATAGGAAAACTAGCTTTATTGAGTAATAAGCAACAAAATCTTCAACACACTTGGAATTTAAGGGATTGTGTGAATAGCAATCCAACCAACATTTTAGTGGGTGTACTAGAAGCAAAGATGGTTTGGAGGAAATAATGAAAACAATACTTTGTATAAAATTGTTAATAAAGTAAAAATCAAAAATATTACTACCAGTTCTTAAATATTTTTATGTATATACATACATACATATATACATATGATATACCAAATTTATGTCACTCATGCTAAAAATGTTTTATCAGAATGTATATGTAGATAATATTTCTCAATGTGTCCCCAGACTTATCAAACTTCCTGTTAAACTCACTAAATACTTGTTGAAAAAAAGATTAAATTCCCAGATATCATCTAATCTCAGAAACTATATTACTGCTAAATTCAAGAATATCTGTTTCATTAAAGGGTATGTGTGGAGAAAAAGTAGGAATGCACACACTGACAACCAAAGTCACAGTCCATTTGTGGTCCAGAGCCATAACATACAGATGTATATTGCACGATTGAATGACCATTTAGACAACTGCCACTTACTACAAGAGATTATTGTCATGAAGCCTGGATATATTATCAGTAGAGCAGCACTGAAGACAACTGGGAAAAGCATGCTTCAGCTGAAGAATGAAACAACAGTCAGTGCCCCACAGTTCTGTACCATATATCATGTTCAAGAAGACTGGTTTGTAAAATTATGTCTTTTGCTCACCTGGAAATCTGGGGTCAGGATGAAAGTTTTAATTTACTTAGAGATATCATCCATGCTCTATTATTTTTCAATTTTGATATTATAATCTAATTACAGCATTCCTCACATTTCATTCTCCCAAATCCTCCCATATATTCCTCACTACTCTCCTTAACATTCATGGCCTCTCTCTCACTAAGTGTTACTATGTATATGAATGTACATGTATATTTCTAAATAATAACTGTTACAAGAGGATAATGTTATTGTATGTATGGTTGAAGGGATGACTGCTTGGTATAATACAACCAATTGGTGGGCTCTTCCTAGGGTCTGACCACCTCTCCCCATCCCAGCTTTCCTCAGTTGCCTATGAGTCTTTGTGTAGATTTCAGGCATCAGAGACTTTTCCCCCATCCAGTCTCTCCCGTTCATTGGTGTTATCCTTGTTCAGCTAACATGTACAGTCCTGTAGGTGAAGCTTTGTGTGTAAGGTCAGGAAACATTACAGAGGAGGGGGAGGAATGAATTAAAAACCAAGGGGTCAGGTAGTTTTCTGTGAAATTGTTTTCCTAGTAATATCAGAAGCCTTATAAATTGCTTTCATGTTTAAAGGTTTTTATTTTCCTGGAAGAAAATAAGAACCATTGGGCCATTTTCAAGAAGACTAAGGTTATCAAACACATAATTATGATCATTCTAATGGATATTTCTTCTTCATAGACAATTTTCATAGACTTTTTGTAACTTTATGCATGTATATATTGAATTTGTGTAATTTTTTCATTTTTTTATTTCATTTTACATTCCAACCACAGTTCTCCCTCCCACCCCTCCTCCCACCCCTTTGACTCCTCCTACCCCTGCTCACCTCCTCCCCTAGCCTACCTGTTGGGACCCAGCCCCCACGGGGTCTCTGTGAATTGTTTTCCAGCAAAACCACAGGTACATCCTGTTTTCCTGGCTTCGCCCCACTAGTGTCTACATCCTGTTGTGAACCCTTATACCTGGGGTTTTTGTAAGTCTATATATAACGCTGCTCCATCTCTACAATAAAGGAGACACATTCTCTCAGAAAAGGACCAGATATCTTGTCATTCATTCAAATCTCCATGCTTTTGGCTGATACTCGGACTTAGTCATGGCGTGGACACCACACCCACCCCAAATCCACTCCTCCTCATGGAAAAGGGCTCCCATGTGGAGTCAACATAGTCTGGCACAATAGGTTTGGGCAGGGCAAGGCCCCTCTCCCATGCTCATTAAGACTGAGCACGGCATCCCACCATAGGGAATGGGCTCCAACAAGTTAGCTCATGTACCAGGATTATATTGTGGTCCTACTGCCACTGAGCATGGCATCACACCCTAAGGAATGGACTCCAACAAACTACCTCATCTACCAGTGAAGGAACCAGCTCCCCTTTCGGCAGCCATAACAGCTGAACACGTGCTTGCCATAAACTTGCCTTGGTCACTTAGAGGTCACATGCCTGCCTTGTGACAAAGAACCAATCAGAAGTTAGTTAGTCACTAGAAAGTCAGATGCCTGCCTCGTGACAAGGAACCAATCAGAAGTTAGCCGGTGGTGCTATGCTTTACGACTCTGGGTGTGCTTTACTGACAAGCGCACAGCAATGACATAGAGAGCATAGCAACCACCCTGGGAGGGCCTATGGGCCATAACAACCAGTTGACCAATCAACACAGGGCAAAATCTCCAAGCCTGGAGGCACACCAATCCTGAACCTGTGCATACCCCTAGACACTCCCCTTACGCTGCCTTATAAAGATCTGTACGCAGCGACTTTGAACTGTCTTTTCTAGCCATCCGCCGTGGCGGGTGGGTGAAAGACACGAGCTAACACGGGGTTAGCTCGTTAAATTACAATAAATTACAATGCAGCAAGCTCTCGAATCCACCTGGTGATTGGGGTGATGGCAGTCGTGGCCTGGGACCTCGGACACCTGAGTTTTCCGGGGGGTCTAACACTAGGTTTCTATAATGTTCCTACTGACAGGGGCCCCTCTGATAGTCCATGCTTCCCAATTGTCTCCCACATACAGAGGGCCTAGTTCAGTCCCCTGGAGTTTCCACAGTTGTAGGTCTAGAGTTCATGAGTTTCCACATGCTTGGTTCAGCTGTCTCTGTAGATTTCTCCATCATCATCTTGACTTCCCTTGCTCCCATGTTCCCTCCTCCCTCTCATTGCCTGGATTCCTTGAGCTTGGCCTGGTTCTGTGTTCTGGATCTCTGTGTCTGTTCCATCAATTACTTGATGAAGGCTCTATGATGATAGTTGGGGTATACATCAGTCTGATTACAGAGGTAGGCCAGTTCAGCATCCTCTCTACTATTGCTAGGAGTCTTAGCTGGGATCCTCCTTGTGGATTCTTGGGAGTTACCCTAGCACCAGGTTTCTCCCTAAGCCCATAGTAGCTCTCTCTACTAAGATATCTCTTTCATTGCTCTTCCACTGTATTCCTCCCTGCCTAGGCCATCTTCTTCCCTCTTGTTTTCATCCCCCCTTACCACTTCTGACCCCAGTTTACCCTATAGATATCATCTAATTTCCCTTCCCAGGGTGATCCATGTGTCCCTCTTAGGGTCTTCCTTGTTACCTAGCATTTCTGGAGCTGTGGATTTTAGTCTGGTTATCCTTTGTTTTAATCTAATATCTACTTATGAGTGAATACATAATGTGTTTGTCTTTTTGAGTGTGGGTTACCTCACTTAGGATGTTTTTTTCTAGTTCTGTCCATTTGCCTGAAAATTTCATGAGGTCATTTTTTTTCCACTGAGTAGTACTCCAGTTTCCTTATGTACCTTAAATGTACCACATTTTCCTTATCCATTCTTTGGTTGAGGGGCATCTAGGTTGTCTAAAGGACAGCCTACAGAATGGGACAAATCTTCACTAACCCCACATCTGACAGAGGGCTCATCTCCAAAATTTATAAAGATCTCAAGAAACTAGACATCAAAATAATCTAATTGAAAAATGGGGTACAGAGATAAACAGAGAATTCTCATCAGAAGAATCTCAAATGGCCAGAAGACATTTAAGGAAGTGCTCAACATCCTTAATCATCATGGAAATGCAAATCAAAACAACTTTGAGATGCCATCTTACACCTCTCAGAATGCCTAAGATAAAAAATACTGAGGACAGTTTATGTTGGAGAGGATGTGGAGTCGGGGGAACACTCCTCCATTGCTGGAGGGGGGGGGAGTACAATTGTACAACCATTTTGGAAATGAGTATGGAGGTTTCTAAGAAAATGGGCATCAATCTACCTCAAGACTCAACAATACCACTCTTGGGCACTATTACCCAAAGGATGCTCGGTCATACCACAAGGACATTTGCTCAATAATATTCATAGCAACATTATTCATAATGAGCAGAACCTAGAAGACTCATAAATTTTATGATGGTAAAAAATGGATAGAATCAACTGATATTTTATAGGCTGTTCATTTTTATTCTATTAATCCTATCAATTTTTGAGCATGGGGGAATCTTTCCATCTTCTGTCATCTTCAATTTCTTTCTTCAATGTC